TTTTTTTATTATATATATATATGTGTGTGTGTGTGTGTGTGTGTGTGTGTGTGTGTGTATATATATATATATATATATCATAAATTGGGCCACGGCTTGATGACCATGGGAAAATGTGGGTCCCATGGCCAAACCAGTTGAGAAGCACTGGTGTAAATGACTGTCACAGTCAATAACATTTCACTGGCAAACACAAATCTGCAGCTCACTGCTATGGGATGTTGTTTCTGGTTAACAACAGTAACTAGGAGGGGCAGAGCTCAATGTGTGTGATACAGTGGTGAATGTTGAGCTCTGCTGCTCTCTAGCGGTCAGGAGACACGCTCACCTCCAGGAAGCTCTTCTCTAAGGCCAGACGGATGCTGGTTTCAATGCTTGTCCGCTTCTTACGCCGCCGGTTCAGACTCTCACAGAGACACGGGGACATTTCATTCGGACTTGACACCACAGAATCAGCACACATGTTCTCTGAGGAAGAGCAGAGATGCTCATGAAAAACACTGACAGATGATTTCAAATAGATGTAGGGCTGTGCAATACTGTTTTTTCTTTCTTTCTGGGATTTTGCCAATAACGATAAGTAGCCCATGTGTTTTTGTGCTGGTTTAGACCTGTTGGGTTCAGCTGACTCACAAAGTTTTTCATATTAGCAGTGACAGATATTAAGGGTTTCATTAAGCAGTGCTATTTGGCAATTTAATTAGATTTCTACTGTAGTGTCATTTTTAGCTAGTTGCCACGGCAACATTTCTTATTTTAATTTTGTTTAACTTTATGCACTAAAATAACTAAAAACTAAAATGAAAATTAACAACTTAAAATCAAAAACTAAAAAAAATGACAAAATCACACAAAATTGCTAAAATTTTATATAAAATAAAAAACTGAGGACTTAGGACCGGAGGACGAGTTAGGCAAGATATGGAGTAGTCAAGTCAAGTCACCTTTATTTGTACAGCGCTTTATACAATACTGGTTGTGTCAAAGCAGCTTTACAGTGTCAAACAGGAAAATAGATGTTAAATAGATGGTAACAAAAAATGTTAAAAAGACAATGAGTCATTTTCCCAGTAAAAGTCAGTTCATTGATGATCCAGTGATGTCATCATCCAGTTTAGCTCTCTTCCAATAGTATCTGTGCAATCAGTCAAGTAGGACATGTTCGCGAAAGGGTCCTTCAGAATTCCAATATTTTTGGCATTCATGCACATTTCTACTTATTAAGTCTGAGTGCCTACAGTTAATTGTATCTATCAGTGATCATTTTTTTCTCATCTTGTGTAACGAAGATCAAAACTAAAGCCAGAAAGAGAGAAGCGTCTCGCTCACATGCAGTGGACATCAAACCCGGCCCACATCCAGATGTGACGTCAGAAGCCATGCTCCCAACTATGTCACACTCAATAACTTTGAAACAGGAAGAAGCAATCCCCTTGTCCAAATACCCACACTTGCGGTCTTGGCCACAGGAAGTAAGTACGCAAGACTGTCCAAGGTCTTAGAAATGCCAAAGTGCAGTGCCCTTAATGGATACTACATCCACACTATCTCGAATACCGCTCCAGAGCGCTATTCCAGGCTTAGTGTATCCCATCATGCATCATGTTCTGGAAATAAATCGTGAGACTTTTTGCCAAGATCTCGCGAGAGGTCACGGAAACCTTTCCAATGCAAGTTAAATATTAATATAATAATTAGATATTACATATAATTTGGTAGAAAAACAGTGTTTTTACGTTTTATTGGTGCAAAGATGAGTAGTGATATTTATTTTGTACATTTGCAACTGCTTTTTATCACTTAATTAGAGGCACCACAAATTAAAATTGTCATGTTATAGGGACTACCGAACAGACATTTAGAAGTTGATTTTAAAATGCTAAGTATTTAAAATTAAAATAAAGCTATGTAAACACTTGCATTTTTACAACACTACAAGTGTGTCCCATCAGGTAATGAAAAGTTCGACACACACTTGTGGTTTCATCCTCACTTGAACACTTGGGCCAAATACAGGAAATACGTCATATAAGTGTTCAAGTGGTCAAGTGCATAGACCGCAAGTGTGGGTATTTGGACAAGGCATATGGCGTTATTTTCTTCTTCCTCTTCTTGGCTTTTAACGGCGGCTGGCAACCAGCGTAATTAGGTGCATTACCACCACCTTCTGCTCCGGAGTGTGGAACAGAGAGTTACATTCTATTTATTAATCCCATCCTTTTAAGAAAATTAAAGAAAGCTTTACTATTTATTTCACTTGCCCATTTTATTAAAGATTTAAAATGTACCACCTGAATTCCAGTCTTCTTGATTTCAACTATCATATTACTTCTTTCTTCCTCATATTTCTTACATTCAAGAATTGCATGGGTTACTGTTTCTTCTACTTTGCATTGTTCACATAGTCCATTTGGACGCTTCCCTAATATTTTGAGTGTACTATTAAGATTGGAATGTCCCAACAATATTCTATTATAGACAATCTATTCTTTCCTTGTTTTACCAATATGTCTTATTTTTTACTTACTTTGTTAATTAAATTGAAGAGAACTCTACCCTTTTCGTTGTTGTCCCACTTTATTTGCCATTCTGCAATAACCTTTTTCCAGATTAAAACCTTAATTTCAGACTTGCTTAGAGGAACTTGTAATTCTATTTCTTCTCTCTGCAAAGCTTGTTTTGCTAACTTATCTACGTCCTCATTTCCCTTTACACCTACGTGTGATAGAACCCAAATAAAACTGATTAAAATATAATTCTGAACCAATCTTGAATATATCTGTAAAATACTAAAAAGAATACCTTGATGACTGGATTTAAAAGACCTTAGACTCTTTAAAACTGAGAGTGAATCAGAACAAATTAAAACCTTTCCAGGTTTATAATCCTCTACCCACTGCAAGGACAAGAGTATTGCTATCATTTCAACAGTATATACTGCCAAATGATTGGATGTTCGCTTTATACTACTCATTGCCCAGTCAGGAACTAAAAAAGCAGCTCCAGTTGTCTCACGCTCTGGATCTTTTGAGCCATCTGTAAATATTTGTAAGTATTGAGACTATTGTGTTCTAAAATGTACAGAGAATGCTGAAGACATGTCTACTTCTCTTTCTGCTTTTTAATTTCCAACAAATGTAAATCTATATAGGGAGTTGTATTAACTCCATGGTTCATTTTCAGTAATCACCACTGTTGGGCTCATCTTAAACCTATTTACCTCCATTTCTTCTACATACACTTCACTACTCCATCCAAATTCTACTCTACACAATTTATTTTGTTCCTAACAATTCATTAAAACCATTTTTGTAGGATGATCATCTTTATGACCCTTGAGGTTAGCCCAGTAATTGATCATTAATTGTTTCCTTCTCATTTCCAGAGGAATCTCTCCTAACAGGACTTGTAACGAAGGAATGGGTGTCGTTTTTACCGCTCCACAACACTGTCTCAAAGCTTGGGTTTGTATTTTATCCAGTTTTTCCAACAGGGTTTTTGAAGCCGAACCATATACCACACTGCCATAATCAAACACAGATCTGATCAGTGCCACATAAATAGTTTTTAATGATGAAAAACTTGCCCCCCATGCCACTCCATTTACACATCTCATGTTTAATACCTTCTGACATTTTTCAATAACTTTGTTTATGTGATCCACCAATGTAAGTTTTGAATTCTCTCTCTAAGGACCTCTTGTACATCTTCAAGTTTATTTCTGGTATAATCCTTTTCCTAGAGAAAATTATAGTCTTAGTCTTTTCTACTGAAAATTTAAATCCCCAATCACATGCCCATTCTTCTACCTTTCTAATTGCTTCTTGCATCCTTCCATTAATATACAAAATATTCCTTCCCCTTTTCCATAGAGCTCCATCATCAGCGAAAAGAGATCGAACTACATCATGCTGTACTTGAATAAAAACATCATTAATCATTATGGAAAAAATAAATGGACTTATAACACTCCCTTGTGGAGTTCCATGTTCTATCTCACATCTGTTTGACAATTCATTTCCAATTCTCACCTGTATACTTCTGTACGCCATAAAATCTTTTATCCAATTGTAAATTCTTCCATCTATATTCATCATTTTCAGTTTGATCAAAAGTCCCTCCCTCCACATTATATCATATGCTTTCTCAACATCAAAAAATACTGCAATTACTGATTCTTTATTTACCTGAGCTTTTCTAATTTCATTTTCCAAACATACAACAGGGTCCACTGTTCCTCTTCCTTTTCTAAAACCACTTTGATATTTAGTTAATATTCCTCTCTTTTCCAATAAATATGTAAAATAGTCTGTAACCATCCTTTCCATGAATTTACATATATATAAAGTAAGAGCTATTGGCCTATAATTAGATGGTTTAGAAGGATCTTTGCCATGCTTTCTTATTGGAATTATTATAGCTTCTTTCCAAGCATTTGGTAATCTTCCTTCCTCCCATACTCTATTATACAAGTCTAAAATTTTTCCCATAGCCCCATCTTTAAGATGTTTCAACATTATATTTGTGATCTGATCTTTTCCTGGAGACAACAGTGTATTATTTAATTTACCAATTGCTCTTTTCAGTTCATCTAGAGTAAACAGGAGGTTAACTGACTGATCTTCTATTCCCCCATTTCTTTCTAGACCTTCTAGATGTTGTCTCTTTATTTCCCTCCTCCTCCTTCCTTCCTCACTCAAGTTCCCTGACCCATGAATCTGTACAAATGTTTTAACCAACATTTCTGCTTTGTCCTTGTCTGTTACTGCAATTTCCCTGTCTGCTTCTAATACTGGATATACCCACTCTCTTTTATTGCCTCCCATTTGATTTTATAATACTCCACACTTCACCCACTGGCATTGCTCTCCCAATCTCACTACAAAAGCTTTGCCAGCTATCTCTTCTAGCTTGCCTTATAGTTCTTCTTAACACTGCTTGAGCTTTCTTGTATAATATTAAATGGTTATAATTACGCGTTCTTTTAAGAAGTTTTAAGCCTTATTTCTAGCTCTCACAGCTTTACCACACTCATCTGTCCCCCATGCTTTCCTTGTAATTTTTCCTTTACTTTTTGGGATTGTTTCCGATGCTGCTTCAAGCAGTATGGCACAAATGTTATCATTTAAGTTGTTAATTTCTTGCTTTGAGTCAATTACTTCTAATCTTTCCTCACAAATTTCTTCAAATTTTGCCCAGTTTGCTTTTTCAAATACCCACCTTCCTCTTCCTTGTGCTGATGTTCTCTCCATCTCTATATCCAAAGTTGTAAACGAGGATCTATCCTTGTACCCCTGCCATCATTCAAACAAACCAGCTCTCTTTCCTCTATTAAATCCTCTAGCACTTGTCCGTTAGCGTTTATACTTTTCCCTCCCCATAATGTATTGTGTGCATTTAAATGCCCACACCATATTACTACATCTCTATCTTGGCCATGCACTTCCTTCAATTTATCTAAAGCCAGG